ATACAAGGCTTTCAAATAGTACTTTTTTATTTTATTTTGGGAGGTATTCATTTATTTTTTATTTTTTTCATTTTAATTTAATTTATTTAAATGATTTAGAATTTTTTGAGTCTTGTTTTGTTTAATTTATTAAATTTATTTATGATTTAGAATTTTTTGAGTCTTGTTTTGTTTAATTTATTTTTAAAATTTATTTCACTTATTTAAATATTGTGGAGTTTTTTTTATTTTATTTTAATTTTTATTTAATTTATTTAAATGATTTTTGTATTTTTTATTTCATTGTTAATTTTATTAATTTAATATTTTTATTTCAATACGATTTTAAATCATAATTTATGATTTGTTTGTTTTTTTTCATTCATTTAAATGCTTTTTTTATTTAATTATTTTGCGGTTTTAGGAGACAGTTATTTTACTGTGTACTTTTAGTATATAGATTTAAATAATATTTCATATAATTTTGCTCCGTTACATGCGCATATATTTGTTCATATTTTGTTTTTGTGGCTCAATGTGAGGAATATGCTTGGATAAATAGTCTTCGTTGGTGTTGTAGTGATAATGTCAGCTTTTGTGGACTTTTGACATTGTTTTATATGACATCTACCAAGCATGAAATTTTTAATTTTGGCAAAATATTGATTTTGCTGGGTTTTTCTCATAAAATATTCTCTTTCAACAGGTTCCTGCCAGTCTCTCACCCCAACTTTAAAGTTTCCCTCCCTGAACTCACTCTTCTGCCCAGGTATGAATTTCTAAAGCTCTCCATAATTTTACATTAATGTGAGCAAGCAGCATATGGGAACAGCTGCACCAAACATTTGTGTGTGTGTGTGTGTGTGTGTGTTTTCTGTTTGTTATTTTGCTGTACACTCTTTTTCAACTCTTCACTCTTTTCCAGAAAACTGAATGATTCTGATAAGACAATTGACAAAGTGAACTACAAACCTGGAGATGAAGTCATATGCTTTGCATCAAAGGTAACTTACAATCGAAGGAACAGGAAATGTAATCTCAAACTGCAGGAGCTGTTGAAGTCATTTTTGCCTTTTCCTCAGTACGTCAAAGAAGCACAATGCTTAGAAGTTCATGTGAAGCCCAACGTCATGGGAACTGTTGAACTACTAGCCATGATTAACAAACCTGGGGTGAGTCTCTGTACAACCTTGTTTTCCTTCTTTATTAAATGCAGTATTTGAAAAGTGACGTGTTACAATATTGCTTTTCTATAAAAAAAAAAATTCATTTCTATCTAATAAACATGTTACTTGAAAGAGTTACTTTAACGGTGGCATAAATGTTACTTGTAAAAAAAAATTAAAGTCATGCACTTATAAAATGCATGTATTTTTACATTAATTTCAGTATAAGCAAGCTGTGTTTTCAAATGTGTTTCCACAGCAAGCTAAGCACCCACAGACGCTTTTTAAAACAGGACAGACCGTTTCTGCAAAGGTTGTTGGTGTTGGTACCAGCCGGCCTTTTCGTCTTTCTCTTTCCCTCACAGGTAATACTTGTAGTTTCATCTGCAATCATAACTGTTATGAAGCACAGCACTATCAGTACTGTCAGAGGAGATTTGATGTGACAACATTTCCTAGCTCATATTTTCTCCTCGTTACACTGAGTCACACTGCTCTTGATGCCGTGACGCATGTGGCGGTCGTCCCTCGAGTGTCTTTAGCATTTCCTGTGTGTGCCGTTGCTGTAGGGACGTACACGCTGGAGGAAGGTTTGGTCACCATGGCGATGGTTTGGAAAATTGAGCCTCACATGGGACTGTTTCTCAAACTCCCATTTGGGAATTCGGGCTTTGCTTCGGTAAATGATCTCTCTGATGCATACGCAGACAACCCGCTAGAGCCCTACAAGCTGGGCCAGCTAGTCCGGTGAGTCATGACCTAGTTGGAATTGTTTATGATGAATGTCTGAAAGGATTTTTCCTGCATAGAAGCTCTAAAGAAGCTCTAAATGTGAAGCTTGTTTATGTTTGCGCATGTCTTTTGTCCAGGTGCTACGTTATCGGGGAGGAAAATGGAAATTTCAACATTTCATTACGTCCCTCCAGGTATATAATCAAGTATCTTATCTATCTGTCTATCTGTCTATCTGTCTGTCTGTCTGTCTTTAATTTATTGATTTATTTTTGTTCCTTCATGGTATGTTGAAATTAAGCTTATGACTATAAAT